CGGATGCCACCGCGCCCGGGCATGGGCCCCGGTGCAGGGGGGCCGCCTGGCGGACCTGGGCAGCCGCCCATGATGCCGCCTGGCATGGCGAGGCAGCGCCCCCCGATGCACATGCCCACGCCTGGCCCGGCGCCGCCGCAGCAGCGCATGGGCATGCAGCAGCAGCCATTGCCGCAGCAGCAGCCATTGCCGCAGCAGCAGCTGCCGCAGCAGGGGGCGATGGACGATCAGGAGGCCATTCTTAGGAGGGTTATGGCTATGACGCAGCAGGAGATTGATGCGTTGCAACCAGAGCACCGGACGTATGTCCTACAGCTTAAGGAGATTGTTACGATGCAGGGGCGTGGTATTCAGTCGGGAATGGGGCAGGGTATGCAACCAGGCCAACAGCAACCCCCGGCGGGACCGGGGCAGTATCGATGAGTGATAGGAAGGATGTGGGCGGTGGGTGCGGTGCACACGCCGTCGTAGTTGTGTTTGTGTACATATGGTGCCATGATGATCGCCCGTCTTTGGAGGAGAACGTGTTGCGGATTGGGCAAGTGAAGGGCATTTGAAGCAGGAGACGCGGTATGCTTTTCGGGTTTTTATGGGGCTGGACTTGCTATCGTTATGTGAGCAATGAGACTTTTCTAACTGCGAAAGAGTGCTTGCCGAGATGGCGACGGCGTCTCTTTGACCGCCCGCCTTTAATAAAAGCTAGGCACCCTGATACTTTTTTATTCAAACGTCAACCGAAGCACATGATCCGTCTTGCGATTTGTATGTTTCAGAAGACCCAGGAATTCTAGTTCTGCACAAACACGGGAGAAGCGCACCTGTGTTTCCGCGGGGGAGACATTTTTTAAACCAGTGATGTTTCCGTCGGCGTCCCGCTCGACGGCCCCAACCGTTCGCATCGTCGAAAATGAGTGGTACCAGTCGTAAAGATTCTTCATTCGGCCGCCCTCTGCAAGAAGCCTGTATCCCAGGACGGTATCTGGAATTGAATTCTCTGGGATCGAGCCAAGACAATTCGACGGCCGACGCATTGCGTTGAAGAATGAAGTACGAGGCTCAGAAGTGCTGCCAAGCCCTCCCGATAGTTCTTGCAGTGCCGCGACGTCGGAAAACAGTAAAACTTCATGCATGGGATGCGACGCCAGCTTGTCGACTAGATCCAGTAAATCGCTGAAGATTCCGACTAGTGCTTCTCGCGGCACTTTCATCACGCTTGATTCTTTGTGCTCCACTCTGGCGCTTCTCAACAGTTCATCACGTCTTTGCTTTGCCGCAGCTCCACCCTTTGCAATAGTTCTTCTTGTGGACACTGACTTGGCGATCGAACCAGAATGCCCGCGGGGTCCTTCTTCCTCAACTCGCCTAAGCGCCATCTCCATTTCCTCCGATAAGTCCTTCAACCGCTCTACGGTACTTGTGAGTTGTTCGTCATTCTCCACTTCACATGCCTCCATCGTTTCCTTCATGGCCTCGATTGCCTTCAGCATTTGCTGTCGGCTACTCTTTCTAATGCGATTCACAATCGATCTGGCGACACCCCTCACGTCCAGATCAGCACCGGCCTGTTCTTTGACCAGGAACGAGCGAAAAATGTGTAAACGAAGATCAGAATGGTTAGGTCTCGCCTTTGTCCATCCTCTCTCTGGTGCCTGCAAGACTCTAATTAGCTTGTAAACCACTTGCTCGACAATGTAGCATCTCCTTCGCCATGCCCATAATTCAGAGCACCACTCTGTCGCCTGCCCCTTAAGCTTTTTGTCATCCAAAGGTCCTTCGGTCAATTTGCTACGAACAGAAGGAACATCCTCTCTTAGTTGTTTCAGGGCAAAACCACTCAACTCGATTCCTCGTCCTCGTTGCTTGGACAGCGTCCACTTTGAAAACGCAGCGGCTAGCGGTTGGCGGTAACAGTGGAGAGAATACATTTGATACAAGGAGCGCATTACAACGGAAATGGTTGATTCCCTTGCATAAAATTCAGTCTCAATGAGGTCATAAACAGGTTGACAAAACAAGATGGGGTGCTCTCGACGTGCCAGTACTTTCTCCACGATGGTCCGAAAGCAATGTGTTGAATTCGGCAGGTCAACGTTCGTTGGCGCGATCACAGCAGCTTCCTCAATTCCTAACGCAGAATGGAGAGAATTCGCAGATGTGCCATGGCCGAACAGAATAGCTACACGAGGACCTGACCCAGACGCCTTGTCCGCCCCCTCCAGCTCCATTGCTGCGTCGCGCCTTTTACCGCAAAGGTAGACCAAATCTCTGAGCGTATCCTCGGGAAAGGCATCGGCATCCTCAACAGCAACAATCACAGCCTCATGCTCGGGAACGGCCTCCAAATGATCTGTGACGGCAGTCATAGTGGAGTGATGGGCCGACTCAAATGGCAGTATGGTGGCGTCTGCAGCGCTTTCGACATGTTTGAGCACTGATCTGAAGACCTCTGCTCGGTCTCCGGCGGCTGCGGCGGCGCCCATGTTGATGCAAACGGCAGGCACTTGGCCCGCATCGGGGGGGCTTGTGAGGACGTTTGAAATGTCTTCAAACTTGGGTGACCGTAGCTCGAGCAGGGCCGTGTTGACGTCGGACTCGAAGGACTTCCAGGCGCTCTGCAGGGCTTTCAAGGACGGGTTGGTGCTTGGGTGAGAGTCATGACATTGCTGGCGAGGGCGCTTGGGAATTATTGTCGTGTGGTTGGAGACGTGTGAGCTAGGGCGCGATTCGAGTGGACGCTTGCCTAGTGAATGAGATGAGGACATCGTTGGCGGGTGGGGCTGATCAATGTGGGCGAGAGAGGTGGAAAGTGCTCAACCTCGGCCTTTGACCGTCAGCTTTTAAGATCAGAAGGGTTGGCCTCGGTGTGGTGCGGACTGAAGACATTCCTGGACAAAAGTATTGGCGGGAAGCAACGCCTTCTGCTCCTACTCTGACGGCAGAATCATTGGTTGAAAACCCTACCAAACCAATAAGCGCCAAGTGTCTGCAATCACCATTTCAATCTTGTGAGAGGGCATCGCCTCTCAGATTTCGAGATAGGGATCAGAAGGTCACCATCGGCAGAGATCAGATAGCCTTCGACCCGCACTGTATTGGCGTGTTTTCAACCCCGCCGAAAGAGCAATTGCAGGTACAAGAAAATCTTTACAAACTCAACAACAACTCAAGCGAACCGTTCTATCTTCTATCATGGGGCTTGGGTTCATTTCACAAGCGCCGCTAGTCATCGGAAGCCGCAAGCAAAATCTCTCCACATGTCCGCGGCCACGCGTATATACTGCGCGCCCACGGTGGACTGCGGCCGTCGAAGCACAACCCGAGACTGAAACTAAGAGCGCAAGCGAGATGTCGGAATCCGCCACCAAGTGGCCCGAGGTGCTGTCCGTGGAGCAGGTGATGAAGATCCTCCCCCATCGCTATCCCTTCCTGCTGATTGATCGAGTCGTCGCGTACGAGCCCGGGAAGCGCGCCGTCGCGATCAAGAACGTCTCTATCAATGAGCCGCATTTCACTGGCCATTTTCCGGATAGACCGATCATGCCAGGCGTGTTGCAAGTTGAGGCGCTTGCGCAGACGGGCGGCATTGTCATGTTACAACACGAGGAGAATCCCATCAAGGATGGTAAGGGCGATTTCTTCTTTGGTGGCGTGGATAGAGTCAAGTGGAGGAAGCCTGTTGTGCCAGGCGATACCCTGGTCATGGAGATGACGCTTGATTCATTCAAGCCGCGGTTTGGGATTGCGAAAATGACTGGAAAGTAAGTTTTGCTTTGCTGCACTCCTCGCTTTCCTTCGGCGTCGGATTCATGATTGCCGGACTAACATCTTCTTCTCTGCATTTCATCTTCTCACTGCCTTCGTTAGAGCATATGTAGATGGAAAGTTAGTCGTTGAAGGTTCATTCACGCTAGTGATGGTGGTGAACAAGTGATGAGATGAACGCTAAGTGGGCGTGTCTCCTTGCTGGAAAAGTCTTTCCAAAATGGTAATGATGACGTTTGCTTTTGCCAAGTCTGTGTCCCAATCCATCTCTTCAAAATCGTCCAGAAATCTGTAAGCATGCGGATCCTGCACCAAGTCACAAGATGGTGAACACAGACACAAGGCGGTTAAAAAAGTCAGCCGAAGCAAAACACCAAATGCAAAAGGTATTGCCCTGAAAACTTACGCACAGAAGACGACCGATTACTACCTTCCGCAGTACCGAACGTATCACGGCCGCTGTGTCACCAGCGACGGGACTTGGTCCAATAAAAAACAAAGAAGGTCAGAGCAATGGAAAAAAACATTGCTAAGCAGCGAGCGGTAGTGATAAACGGTCAATACTTACGGCGAGAGAATAGCTAGCAGCTGAAACAGGAACCACAACGTGTTTTCAAAAAGGAGCACGTCGGAAGTCCACCTCAAAACCGTCTCGGTCGTCCACGGCGTAAATTTGCTCAGAGCGTCCTTATTCGCAAACCCGCGCGCCGCCAGCACGGAATCGCACGCCCTGAGGGCCTCGACCGCCACGGTGTGATCCAGTGCCAAAAAGAACCTGAGCGTAGGTTTCGTCTCGGCATGGCCCATGATAATCTGTTCCCACTGTTTAGCCTCTCCGCGCGCGGGAACCCCACGGGCAGCATGCGCGCCCGACGCGCGCCTGGCCATCAGACTGGCCTGCAGGCGCGCAAAGCCAAGCACGAGCTCGTCCTGCCAGTGCGGGTCCGGGAGGAGGTGCGCGGGCGTATCCGGTAGACGTAGGCGATGCAGCGCGGGCTTCGCGGGCGGCGGCGACGGCGGGTTTAGACGCGAGACGAAGACTTGGGGAAGGGCGGCAGCCTCGCGCCGCACCTGCGCTAGGTATTGCTCGGCAGTTGTCGGGGGGCCGTCGTGCGGTCGGGGGAAGGCGTCTAGGGGCGGGAGTGGAAGGGCCTGTAGGGAAATGGGTCAGCGGGACGCAGCGGAAAACAGGTTCAATCGGGTGGCACCGGGAGTGGAACGTGGCTGACTTACTGGGCGTGGTGTGTCGTCTTCGCTTTCCGAGTCCCCCGTGAGAGTGTCCATTTTTGAAAAGCAGGTGAAGGGAAAGGCTTCTTTATCTTTGTCTTTGTCGGGACGGGGAGCAGGCGTGATGGATAGCGAAAGAGTCGCAGGCCCGGATCAACAGACGATAGATAATGAGGTTAATCCTAAGGAATAATTATTACTGTACTGGTCGGCCTTCACATCCCAACGAGGCTGCCAAATTAAAAACATCAGCAGGATGAAATAGAGATACGGGTCACGACGTGAAGAGCGGAGCCCTTCGTACCGTCACTCACAATCTGCATCACTGCAAAGTCACAATGACGACGAAGGCAGGCTATTTTGACTGGGGCGTGTGCATGTCCACCCCCGCAACGATGCAAGCGGCGACGACGCACTTCTCCGAAAGCGGCTACGTCATCTTCACCTCCTTCTGCACCGGCGCGGAGACGTCCTCCCTGCGCGCTCAAGCCAACAAACTAATTGGCGACTTCCACAACGCCAGGCCAACGTCCTCGCCGGCCTCTGTCTTCACCACGGAGGAGCAAACGCGGAAGATGGATGCCGGGTACTTTCTGCGGTCTGCGTCGAGGATATCCTGCTTCCTGGAGGAGAAGCAGGCGGGCGACGACGCGTCGCCGGCCATCAACAAGATCGGGCACGCGCTGCACGACCTGGACGCGGTGTTCGGGCCGTTCTCACGGCAGGAGAAGGTGCGCGCGGTGGCGGCGGCGTTGGGCGTGGCGCCGGCCGTGCTGGTGCAGAGCATGTACATCCTGAAGGGGGCGCGCGTCGGGGGAAAGGTGACGGCGCACCGCGACGCGACGTTCGTGCGGGCGAGCGAGGGCGTATGCTTGGGTTACTGGTGGGCGCTGCAGGACGCGGATGAGGAGAACGCGTGCCTGTGGGCAGTGCCAGGGAGCCATAGGGATGGCAGGGAGATGAAGAGGTTTGTCAGGGGGGAGCAGGGCATGGTGTTCGAGGGGCAGGAGGATGCGGATGCGTATCCGGAAGATAGGTATATGGCGTTGCCGATGCGGGAGGGCGATTTGGTTATGCTGGATGGGCGTGTCGTGCATAAGAGCAAAGAGAATAGGAGTGACAAAAGTCGGCATGCGTATTCGATACATGTGGTTGCCGGAGGACTGGAGGAGAGAGGGTGGTTGAGGAGGGAGGAGGGATTTCCTTTTAGGGAGCTTTAGACAAAGGTGCAGGGATTAGGATGATTAGGGGGGACTAGGATGATACTACGCTACCGTAAAGAAGATGAGCACAGACTGGGCTGTATTAATGTTGACAAAGGCAAACGAGCTGCTGGAGATGGCTGCAGGAGATGGGTCATGGGAGGATGTTTAAAGCGTTTCTTCGAATCTCAGAACTGTAATCCGGTTTCTCTCGCGGAAATGCTCTTGCTCGTCCATTTCTCGTGGGCTCGCTGTATCTAGTAGATACTATCTATGTAGATACTATCTACATGATGTTGATGTGTTGCCTTCTCGAGCGAGCGTGATAGTTTCTGTTGACATACAATGTAGAATCAACGTGCCATCGCGCGCCACGAGCGCCAGCAGGGACAGAGAACCTTGCTGTATATGAAATTAGCCCGTTTTGGGTTCCCTCTGGGAACGCTTCTTCCAGCGCCACGCAGCGCTTTTGCACCGTACTTGCGTCCCTATTTCGCCACCTGGCAACATCACCCTCCCTCCTCCGCCCCCGACCTCCCTCTTCAACTCCTCCCCACTACTTCAACACGGCTCCGTTCTCCTGCATTCCTCCCTTTCCTTCCCTTTCCAAACCCTCAACTCCGCACTCCCGAAATGACCGCCTGGCCTGAGTCGCTCAAGCCCATCCGCAAGTTCATGGCGCGCGCGAGAGAGATCGAAGCCGTGCAGCCCGTCGTCGCCTACTACTGCAACTACCACTCGCTCACGAAAGCAATCGAGTTGCGCGACGCCGCCGACACTTCCGCCAACCGCTTTGTCACGGGTCTCCTGGAGAAGTGCGAAACCGCCAAATCGGCCCTGCCCCCCGGTGACAAAGACTCACACCGCGCCGCCGTGATCGAGTTTGCCCTCACCGTCTTCGACCGCGCCGATACGGACGATCGCAACGAGCTCGCCACAAAGGACACCGCCCTCACTTTCTACGCGGCCATGTGTTTCCTCGAGGTCTGCTCCGTGTTTGGTCCCTTGAGCCCCGAGCTCGACGAGCGTCTGCGCTACGCGAAATGGAAGGCCGCCGATATTACAAAGGCCCTCAAGGAGGGGCGCAAGCCCATGCCGGGCGCCCCCGGTGAGGCCGAGGCCCGCGAGAAGGCGGAGCGCGAGAAAGCCGCTGCGGAGGCTGAGATGGGCCCCACCCCGCCCCCTGAAATCCAGGAACGCGCCTTCCAGCCAGCGCAGGACACAAGTGGCGTCCCGCCCGCCCCGCCAGTGTACGAGTACGAATCGCCTGCCGAGCCGCTCTACCCGCAGAGCAAGCCCCATACGGATTTTCCGCCCGTCGCCCCAAAGTACCCGTCTAGCGACGCGCCTTCGCCGTTGCCTGCGATCAGAAAAACGCCCCCACAAGCACCCGCGTTGGATCTCAATACCGTGAAAGGCCCCCGTTCGCTGGATATCGGCGGCCTGCCGCCTCCCTCGCTTGATATCGCGGCCGTTCCCAACGTGCCCTCCATGAATATTCCCACCACTGAGCAACCTGAAGTAAGCGCCTTTTCGAGCCCCAGCTTTTATGAATCAATCAAACAAATCGAGTCCTCCCTCCCGCCCGGTAAAGAGCAAACTCGCGGCATGCCGGTGCCACCGCCGGAGGAGGAGACATCACCAACTGCGGTATCTCCGCCCATGCCAGTATCGCAGCCGCGCGCGACTATGCCGCCGCCAAAGCCCGCCCCAGCGCCGATGCCGTCCAAGCCAGCTGTACCGGAGCCTGCGCCAGTGCCACCGCCGGTTGTTCCCGTGGCGCCGCGTGCTGTGGCCGCGGCGCCGCCAGCCGTTGCCATCGACCCCAACTTTCGACCATCAATAAAGCAGACACAGGAAGCGCAGCGGCTGGCCAAGTACGCGGCAAGCGCATTGGACTTTCAAGACGTGAAGACGGCAGTACAAAACATGGAGAGAGCACTGGGTCTCCTGCGTGGCTCGATACAATAGGCTATTGATGATGACCGACTAGAGGGTTGCCGAACAAGCAACTACTGATAGTGTGTAAAACAACTGCCAGATCGCCAACAGTACATTCAAGACTCATTTGAACGCACCTCGGTGTTGGCTAATGCCGATTCTATGCGTTGCAAGTATTGCAACTCGGCCGCACGTGCAGACGCTTGACTCAGGTCGGCGGCCTCGAATGCATATGCGAGATCGGCAAGGCATCTGGCAGTAGCCTCGTTCATCTGGTTTCTCATGTCGTCAATTTTTCGGACATCACTTGACGCCTCGAGAATGGCCTCGCGTGTCTCGACAACCCAAGATAGAAAGGCGGGGTCCAACGGGGGCGGCTGTCCCTCGCCCCGTATATGCAGTAAATGTTTTGCCCGCGTTGCAGGTTTTCGCAACGTGGAGTACGCCTCGTTAATTCGCGCGGACATTGTGGCGGCCTGTGCGCGCTCCTCCTTAGACGAGCCTCCAAAGCGGTCCGGATGCCACCGGCGTTGCATCTCCCTAAACCTCTCCACGAGTTGCGTCGCTGGCACATCGAAGGTCTCTCGCAGGCCGAGCAGGTGGTAAAAGTTGTCGCCGCGCGCGGCGACGGCAGCGAAGCCACGACGGTGGAGTAGGCGAAGCATGGAGCGGTCGTGGAAGTGAGGTGGGGGGGTCGGGGGATGGATACGGGTGGAACAGGAAGGAGTAGGACGCGTGCAAGCGGGCGCGATTAGAAAGGATGCAAGGATGCTCAAAAACGGGTGGTGGGTTTACGGGGGACAGGCTGTCGATTTTGCTGCGGCTGCAACGGGCGATTCGATGGGAGAGATTTTGCAATTTTTACCGATTTGATAAAGCTGAGCAGTTCGCCCTCGGCGCCCTTCCGCCGTCTCCGCTGCGCTTGCATATCATCTTTCGCCACACTTTACAAAAGCAACAGTCAGAAGGCTGCCCTGTCCTTCCTTCCCCCTCCCTTCCCCCCCGGAGCTTGATATCCGACACTAAACCTGTCCCCATATCTAAACTTTCCGGCCCCCCTCATCGTCCTCGCTTCATCTCCCATCCGCCTTGTGCAGCTCCACTTATCCACTCACTGACACACTCACCTATTTCACAAAGTCTTCTTTCCACGCTTCTCTGACTGCAAATATATTTCTTTCCCAATTGTCCAGGCATTCATCTAAAGGGGGAACCATCCTCTAATACGCTGCAAATAATCTAACTGCCTGTCGGCGTCCATCTAGGTTCCATCTATTATGACCAGCACTTCAAATACCGATCAGCCCGACACCCCCGTGGTTACGCCTGTCCTTGCGCCGGTCGCAAGCCCTGTGTCTGCGCCACCTGCTTCTGAACCTGCTTCCAAATCTGCTGCTGTGCCAGCTGCAACCAAGCTCGCCACGACCGCACCTGAGTCTAGTCCTCAGCCACACCCCAAGGGACCGAAGAACTACAAGAGTAGGTACAACAGCACGCCTCCGCCTGCGACCAACTGCATCGTTCTCAAGAACCTGGACTACAATATCTCGCAAATGGCCCTGGAAGAGGTCGTTCGTCAAGTCACGGGGGGACGTAAGGAGTTTGTGAACATCGCCCTCATTGAGGACAGGGTGACAGGCTCATTCCGAGGTATGGCCTTTGTCAACTTCCATTCCACCGCCGACGCCACCGCCGCCCTGGCAGAGCTTAGCAAGATGGTCATCAACAAGAGGAAGGTTATCGCTGAGTATCGAAGACTCAAGCCGGGGGAGAAAGAAAAGAAGGAGGCCTACGAAAAAAGGGCTGCCAGCCGCTTTGACCATTTTAACGGAAACAGGCAGACGTTTGAGAAGGATATCACCAATGAGACTGATGCGAACGGTAATGCCGTGGACAAGAGAATGGCATTTTTTGCCAAACGCGACATCGTCAAAAAGGTCGATGAGCAGAAGCGCGCTGAAGAAAGGGCAGAGCGCGACAAGGAACGTGAATCCGAGTTCCGTGCCAAACTTTTGGAATATAAGGACGCGGAGACGCCGGAGAATGAAAACGCCGAAGAACTGGTGTTTGATTGTACTCTTAATTCCCATGAGAGACGCAAAATACATATGCTATGTGAGGAATTAGAGCTTGGTCATATCAGTCGTTTTGATGATGATGGCAGCAGAGTGTTGCACGTCACCAAAGATCCGGCGAAGAAAGCTGAATGGGATATCGCGACTGCGGCGCAGAAGGCAACGATGGCTGCGAAGAAGGACGAGAACAGGCGAAGAACCAAAGAACCTCGTAATCTCAACCCAAGGAAGAATTCCGAACCGGTTAACGGCGGAGCACTTTCAAAGGAGGAGTTGCAAGGCATCAAATGGTTCAAACCTAGAGCTGCCCACGCTGCGGAAGAGGGCAATGAAGAAGCCGCCAACGATGGCGGAATTCGTGCGCCGTCTTATAAATTATACACCCCACCTCGTCAACCTACTGGCCCGGATGGGACGATCGGATTTAGTTCCCGCTGTCGAGATGAGGACACGAAGACGGATAAGTCGGATTCAACCGGCGATACCGATGGGCCGAACGATGATACGACGCAATCAAATGAAGAAAATGGCGGTGTAAATAGGAACAGCGATGGCGATACCGAAGCGGAGGAGACCGGAGAAGATGGTGATGGCAAGCAATCCATCAAGGAGGCTGACGGAGATGCTGAGGAGAAGTCGAAGCACACAGTGCTGAATCCCAGCGTGCCCGCTTTCTCCCCATCATTTACACCGTCCCTTTAACAGCACTTTGAAGATAATTACGGTTTCTGAGACTGCAACTCGTTGTCGAAGGTATAGATGGTACGCGTGTAGGCATGCATGACTCGGCAACTTAGGTTAGAGAGAAGCATAGGACGATTCACCGCTCCGCGTGCTAAGGATGATTGCTGTGCCAGCTTGCGAGCTTAATTTAGGTGCTAGTCAAAACGGGGCTGACGAAAAAAAGTAAATTGGCGCTGCTGTGTACGCAGGGGTCGAGCCCTTAAGAGAGGCAAGAGATTGCTGGCATGCTCTTCGATGGCACCCTACGTAACACAAGTGCAAGAATGTGGGTCTTCGCGTTAAATGGATCACTTTCAGTTTAAAAAATAGGATACAGTGGTTTATCTGTGCTCGAGATACCTCTGCTTTGTTATGTAGTAACCGTCGGCAGGTGGCCCCTCACAAGAGCGAATTGAAGCGCTATATCGTTATTATTGCAGGAAAGCGCAATCATGTGCCATGTTTCTGGGTTTGGCCATACACGCGAGTACTGCGACTCCCCTCATGATGCCTTAACTGCGTGGACATCATGGACCTCTGGAACATGTTTTGGATATGAACCCAAGACCCTGAAGAAGGTGGTGACCTCTTGCAGCAGGGCGAGGGCCTTCTGCACGGCGGGCTCCTCGGTGTGGCGCTCCATATCGACGTAGAAGACGTACCCCCATCTCTTCTCTATGTTCTCCCTATCCATCTCCTCCTCCCCTTCGCACAGGGCGGCGGCGATGGTATGAATATGCCTGCTCTCAATCTTGGACAAGTCAATGGCGGTGACGGAAAAGGCCTGCAGCGCGCGGCACAAGATGCCCGGCTGGTTGATGAGCGAGAAGACGAGACTGGTCTTGGACGGCAGGTGGGGCACATACGGGGTCTTCTCCTTGGACAAGACGAGGAAGCGGGTGAAGTTTTTCTTGTCGTCCTCAATGCCTTCGGCCAGGATGTTCAAGTTATAAATCTCGGCGGCCCTCTTACTGGCAATGGCCGCCGAGTGTGCGATCTGGCCCTTCCGAATGATGCGGGCGGCGCCGGCGGTATCGTGCGCGACCTCGGAGACCAGGGCGACCTTGTCCAGGTAGCCCTGGCACTGGGCCAGGGCCATGGGGTGCGAGCGGACGACCTTGACGTGGCGCAGGAGGGTGCCGGGGAGGGCGAGCAGGCAGTGGCGCACGCGGAAGTCCAGCTCGCCAATGATAGTGAGGCGGCTGTAGCGCAGCAGCAGGTCCAGGTTGCCGTGGATGGTGCCGGCGAGGCTGTTCTCGATCGGGACGACGGCGCGGTCCGCCAGCCCCGAGTCGACGGCCTCGAAGGCCGAGGCGAAGGTCGGGCTCGGCAGGAAGTGGACCGCGGAGGCCGCGCGCCCCGCCGTGGTCAGGTACTGCAGCGCGGCTTGCTCGGAGTACGCGCCGGGCTCGCCTTGGTACGCGACGCGCAGGTCGGCCATTGTTGTCGGTGGGGGGAGGGAAGGGGGAGGGAAGGGGAAGGGCGCGGAGCTGGAGGGGGGCGCGAGAAGTATGTACGAAACGGGAGGACGGGGTTTGTCGACGTGCGAAACGGGGCGTTGCCTTGGAGGAGGGCGACGAGGACCCGGACGAGGACGAGACTTGTGCGGTGCAGTAGTTCGCAGGGACGGCCTCTCTGTGGGATTTGAGGGAACTCGACGTGGCAAGAAAAAGCCAATGAGGCGCGTACACGGGGGTGGCACGGCGGCGTCGGTCGAGCTGTACGGCCCAGAGCGTCGCCCCATGTGTGCTCATCGATTTGTGTATGGCGACACGTTACAAATGTTGTGCCCGATAAATTGAGCACCGCCAAAGCGAGTGTTGCTTTCCAGGTGCGCATCGCGTATGATTAAAACGTTTACTTGCCGTACAACCAGGGAGGATGCAACTTGACGAGAACGCACCCAATGCCGATGGGGTGCCGATGCCACCATCCGCTCGTCGAGAATCCGCTCCACTCCTCAGGATTAGGGGATTAGTTAAATGCCTAAATCACCTACACGGTAGTCCTCTAAATCTGACGCCCCCTCCTCCAAAAATTTGATGATTTGGTCGGACCGGTGGGGATGTCAATCCACATCAAATCATCAAATTTTCGTTAACTGCAACACCAGGTGGTCTCCCTAGGTGTTGCAGTTATCGCGAGCTGTTAAGACTCTTAACAGTTATCGCGAGCTGTTAAGAGTCTTAAGAGTCTATCGCGAGCTGTTAAGAGTCTTAAGAGTCTTAGCAGCTCGCGATAACTGTCAAGAGTAACTGCAACACCTAGGGAGACCAGAGTCTTAACAGCTCGCGATAACTGCAACACCTCAACATCTTAACTTAAGACACACCCTCTGTACCGGCGGTGGTGATGCTCTTACAATACAATACAGTGCGCAATGAAAGTTTTTAAACTTTCACTTGTGAAACTTTTGGTTGCACGGGTGTCCTTGTACCCTTCGAACGGTCAGAGGGCTCCAATTCGTCTCTGATTTCCTATCCAGTCGTACTGGACGTTGCCCCTATCCCACCCGCGCCACGCCACTGCCGAGTACGGGAAATTCGATTGTGGGTCTCCAATTTCCCGTATTGCCACTGCCAAAGCAGACACACTTTTCCGCGTGTGTGTGCGTCCGTCACCCCCACTCCTCAAGCCCCATGTCCCACTCCCACTTGCCATTTTCACCTCTCACCCACACCTCTCACCCACACCTCTCACCCACACCTCTCCCCACCTCTCGCGCAACAGTGTACAGTGTGTACCCTTCGAAGGGTACAGTTCCGGTGCCCATGTGCGCAGCGCACGCGCATGGAAAACGGCAGATAGCAGTTGGTGGTAGCCGGGAGTAGCATGATATAGCCGGGGAAGTTGCCTCGCGAGAGGACGGACATAGAGGGTGGTTAAAACAAGACTGGACGAATGAGTTGCACAGGGGCACGATGCTGCGTACGGAGTCACCCCTGAGTAACCGGATCGCCCCCAATCACCCTCTGAATTCTCCCCAATTCATCCGATTAATCTGTAATTGGCCTCATCACCGTCTCCCCTCTTGCCCAGCCCTGATCTCTCTCCCCTCCTCGCCCTCCTCCTCGTCCTCCTCCTCGCCCTCCTCCTCGCCCTCCTCCTCGCCCTCCTCCTCGCCCTCCTCCTCGCCCTCCTCCTCGCCGCCGCCATGAAGTGGGCGCACGGCTACCTGCTGCTGTGCAGCGCCACCTTCGCCGTGCTGTTCCGCGACCTTCTCCCTCTCCTGCCCTACGCCCGTCTGCCGGTCCCCACGGTGCCCGTCGTCCTGGCCTTCCTGGGCTACGTCGCCACGCTAGCCGTGCTGGGCGCCTTCCTGCCGGGCAAGACCTACGCCGGCGCCGTCCTGCCCGACGGCTCGCGCCTCACCTACAAGTGTAACGGCCTCCAGGTCGTGGGCGTCGTCGTCACGGCCCTGGCCGTCGCGCATTGGAGCGCCTACTGGCGCGCCACCTGGGTCGTCCACCACTACGCACAGCTGCTGCTCGTCGCCAACGCATTCGCCCTCGCCCTCTCCGTCTACCTCTGCGTCGCAGGCCGCCTTCGCAGGCCCAGGAACTGGCTCCGCTCCACCTCCCTCCTCGCTGACTTCGTCATGGGCGCGGAGCTCAACCCCACCGTCCTTGCCATCGACGTCAAGTTCTTCTCGTATCGCCCCGCCATGGCTGGTTGGCTCATCGTCAATTTGTCCTTTTTGGCAAAGCAGCTCGACCACCTCGGCTTCATCACCAGCAGGATGCTGCTGTACCAGCTCGTCACCGCCTGGTACATCTGGGATTACTTTGTGCACGAGCCGAAGATCGTGTCGACGTGGGACATTATCGCCGAGCACTTTGGCCTCATGCTGGTGTGGGGCGACTACGTCTTCATCGTCTTTGCCTTCAGCGTGCAGAACTTCTTCCTGCTTGACGACACCCGTCCGCTCTCCTACCTTGAGGTCGCGCTAATCGCCATCACCTTCAGTCTGGGCTTTGCCGTTTTCCGCGGCGCCAATTCCCAAAAACACCAGTTCAAGACCCAGCCCAAGACCCACATCTGGGGGAAGCCGCCTATCACCGTCGGCGACAGGCTGCTTGCGTCCGGCTTTTGGGGCATAGCACGACACATGAATTACACGGGCGATCTCATGCTTGCCCTCTCCTTTTCACTTCCCTGTGGACGCGCCTCCCCGTTGGCCTACTTTTACTTTTTCTACCTTCTTTTGCTCACCGTGCACCGCGAAATGAGAGACGATCAGCGCTGCTCGCGCAAGTACAAGTCGCTCTGGGATGAATATTGCTTGCAAGTGCCGTACCGCATGGTGCCTTTTGTATATTAGCATCGTTTTGGGGAAGCCGGTAAGGGAGGGTTGAAGGCCAGGTTTTGGCCGTTTAGATTTGTAGATAGAGTTGATTTAATTGTGACATAAAACCAGCACAGGTGGTGAGGCAAAGGCGTGTCCACGACGATGCAAAAGCAGGATGCAACGGGCAAAAGGGGCGCAACAGGGGCGCAACAGGGAGTTTAGGCCGGGGAGCAATTTTTGAAAATTACAAGGTTGAGACCAGAGTGATGCAGCATAAGGTGTGTTGCAGAGTCGATCGTCCCAACGGGTGCGGCGCCGGCGCGGCAGTCAGAGCGCCGTAACACAAATGCAGAGACGAAGGAAAAGCAATCAACGCAGACACTCGCCACGGCCAAAAATAAGCAAGTCGGACATGCACGCACAACTCAGCTCCCCATAAAAACAATGGCCGACTTGGCATCTCCCTCAAGACTTGTCCTTTTTCGCCTCGTCGTCACCATCCGTCGCCTCCCACATGCGTTTCAGCATATCCAACGAGTCCGAAGTCGCGACATCCGTGTCGCCCTCGGCCTGCTGGCCCTCTGTCTCGTCACTACCCTCCTCCCCCTCCACAACTGACACGGACTCCTCTCCACCCTCCTCGCCTTCCTCGTCGCCCTCCTCCGTATCGCCAATCCTCTGCTTCAAGCTCGCCAGTAAGTCCTCGTCATCCATGGTCTCCTCGTCCTCCTCCACGTCGATAAACTCCGCCTTGAGCTTATCTAAGCGCTCGACTTCCTCTTTGATACGGACATTCTCCAGCTCATCTTCCTTGCGATTTCTCTTCCACGCCCACACTAAGAGCCCTGCAAACGTCCCCGCCGTCAACGTCAGCGACATGGCCTTCTCCCCCCCATCCAACTCCTGGCGCCCATCATACCTGAGCTGCTTCGCCGGGGCGGGCGTCGGCGTCTTAGTCTCCGCATATACCCTCGGCACGCGCCCAAACTGCACAAACGCCAGGGCGACGGTCGATAAGAAGGCGCCCGCTATCCTCGCTGGCGCAGGTCGCTTCGGCGCCACCCTCCATGCCGCATCCTTCTTCTCCGCCGGACTTCCCGCCGCACACACCCACGGGGCGAATGTAGACGGGGCACGCCCACGCGGCAAGGCGACGGTCGGGACAAAGGCGAGCATCACGTCTGCGGTCGCGTCCACAAAAAAAGGCAGGCCAATGTGGTAGAAGTAGGACTGCAACTCCCGACTCATTTTTTTCAAGTGTTCTCCGCTCGACCCGATCTCGCGTCGTCCTTTTCACACCGTGCACACGTGTGCCCTGCCCTCCCCGTTCTGCCCAACCACGATCATGTTGACAACAACGAGTCACCATCACCCCCCGCCGCGCACCCACCCTGTATCTCCTGCGACTTGCGCCACCGCTACCGCTCCACTTCTCCCTCTCCACTTCTCCCTCTCCGTCCCCTCCATGCCCGCCTTCGCCATACCCCCGCCCCTGGCGCACTGCGCGCACCGCCTGCACCGCGCGCACCGCGCGCACCGCGCGCACCGCGCGCACCGCCGCCCGCGCTTCGTGTGCACCGCGGCCGCGGCCACCGCCGACATAGGCAGCGACG